TATATATATATATATATATATATATATATATATAATTTATCATTTATTGAGACTAATAATAAAGTTTGCTTTGAATGTTTCATTCCTTAACAGATCAAATCAAAATATTATCTCAGAACTTACAAATCTGTTAAAGAGAAGAATCATACTTTTGATCAAAACCAAATCCTTGAAATCACGGAGAAAAGTTGATAAAGTCATTACTATAGCTGCTCTACATTAACATTGTTTCTACAAGTTCTATTTGGTATGGAAAGTTGATAAGTAGCTTCCTTGACCGGATAAGAGGTACTATTTGGTGAAATACATTTATTGCTCACATTAAATGTGTCAAATTGTTACCTACCACCACAAGAGAAGATAATAAAGATAGATGAAACAAACTTGTAAGTTGGACTCAAAGTGTTACAGTAGTCATCTTATGCCTACATTTACATCTCATTAATCTAATTGGACAATATTTTTATTTGAACATTGACATATTGTTTCTCTCTTTGAAAAGGTATCATATTTCATTTAATGCTTAACAGTTATTATGTCCTCAATTTTTTAAAAAGAACACGTGGAGAAGTGAGATAGATAAAGGCACGTCATGTTAGTAGTAGCTTTTCTCTCTCTCGTCCTTTCACCTTACCAACCACATTCTAAGGACAAAACCACCTCTAAAATAGAAAACCTCTCTCTTCCAAACAAAAATCTTCAACTCTTAATTGGCACCTAAGACTCTAGCTACCCGCAACAGCAATAAGGTTCCCATGAAGGAATACATAAGTTTGCCTTCCTACCTGGGAAGAACATAGAAATGCAAAAACTATAAAATAATGGCTATCTAGTGAAGCACTACTTGGATAAGGTTGGATGGAAAAAGTTCGTAGACTTGAAGTGCGACTGGTTTCATGCTCCATATGCCTACTTTTGGGCATCTTCTAGAATGGAGCCTAACACAATGGTGGGCCTGGTGGACTAGTAGACGATTATGTTCACTCCTTTAATCATTGCCACTGTGACGAGATGTCAAGAAGATGGTATAGCCTAATCCCTTGACTGGGAACCAATTATTACTCAAGAGACCATGGATACTTTCATTTGCTCAACACAAAGACCAACTATGAAGATTGAGCTGAAGAAATTCTTAAGGGCTGCCAACTTGATGCCCTTATGCAAACTATTCCACAATCTATATAGGTTATGTTTGTATCACCTTAGTTTGGGTGTGAAGATCAACCTACCCATTTTAATTTATAATCATTGGATGTCCTGTCTCAACCAAAGAGACCAAGAGAGGAGTAAAAGGGCACCCATTCCCTATGGGATGCTCTTTACAAAAGTGATTGAGAGGGTTGGCATTGACACCAAGAACATGGAGAAAGGTCATGATGTTGGAGATATGTCTATCACCATCCTTAAACAGATGAGGATTGCTCACTTGTTTCCTTAGGTGAAGAGGAACTTGGTGACAATCAAAACAAAACTAAAGGAGGAGCCTCTGTTGAGCTTAGGGGAGCTGAAGACTTTAAGAGTTTTGATGATCACAACAACTTGGAGACAACAAGTGTACAACAACAACATTGAACACAAAAACAAAGTCAAGGAAAAGTCAAGAAAAATACCTTGAAGTGTAGCTATGTAATAGA